ACTACTACTACTACTACTACTACTACTACTACTACTACTACTACTACTACTACTACTACTACTACTACTACTACTACTACGACTGCTACTACGACTTCTACCACCACTACTACTACTACTACTACTACTACTACTACTACTACTACTTTCGCTACTACTACTACTACTACTACTACTACTACTACTACTACTACTACTACTACTACTACTACTACTACTACTAGTATTACATCTTCTACTGCCACTACTACTTCTACTCCTACTACGATCCAGCAAAAGACGCGCGAGATCCCAACCGCAATAGCTCACGCGTAAATCTGCTACTGTAGGGTGTCTCTCGCAATTTCAGATAGCAATGAACAAGTATGGTAGCACTTCAATATGTTTTCTTTATTCGCTTCCTCCTCGGTTGGGATCTGACCGTGCCTGGTGTTTTAGACGGTTGGGATCTGAACCGTCCGGTTGGGATCTCACGCGACCGGTTGTGATCTGAACCCATCGCCCCCCCCCGGGGGAGAGGAGGAGCCCCGCGGAGGAACCCGGTCGGAGAGGCCCCTCGGGAAGACGCGTCGGGGAAACCTCCCCAGACATGGTGAGCATTATTTTTCTCCTCCTCTTTCTCCTGCTCCTCCTCCTCCGCCTCCTCCTCCGCCTCCTCCTCCTCCTTGCTCTTCCTCCTCCTCCTCCTCCTCGCTCTTCTTCCTCCTCCTCCTCCTCCTCCTCCTCCTTCTCCTCCTCGCTCTTCCTCCTCCTCCTGCTGCTCCTGTTCCTCCTCCTCCTCCTCCTCCTCCTCCTACTTCTCCTCCTCCTCCTCCTCCTCCTCCTCCTCCTCCTCCTCCTCCTGTGGAACGTGGTTTTTCCTCCCTTGACTCGTGGAGCAAGCTTTCGGAAGAGCCCGTCGGGGAAACTTGTTCATCGGCGGCGAGGCAGAGGCAGTCCGCACCAGCGCGGGGCGAATCGGGGCATCTGGTAGGCAGGTTGTCCAGCGCGCAAGAGGGCGAGGCGAAGACGAGGGCGGCCGCTCAGACGGGGAAACTGTCGGGGAAACATGTCGGGGAAACGTTTCGGATAAACTTGTTGCGCGTTGCATTGCATGTGCTCTCCCTGGGCTGCGATCTCTCGTAAGTCACGCCGGGCGCGCGCTCCCAGGGCTGCAATCCCTTGCAACCTGCGCCGGGCCCACGCTCCCAGAGCCGCGATCTGTCGAAGGGTCCAATAAACCCGTCAGGGGAACCTTCTCGGAGAACCCTAACGGGAAAACTTGTCGTGGACACTCGTCGAAGAAAGCTCGCGGACGGCGCCGGGGTCGCGTTCCCAAGGCTGCGAGCCCCTTTCAAAATGACGATGGGCCCGCGCTCGCGGAAACGCGACCCCCTGCGAACTGCGCGGAATCCGCGCTCCGAGTCGTGGTCCCCTGGAACCTACGTTGGATCCGCGGATAATCACCTCGAAGGAGCCGCTTGTTTACTCACAAAGCAAATGCGTCATCCCCAAAGCTCTGATCCCTGATAAGTTACGCTGGATCCGCGCCCCTGCAGTTCTGATCCTTCGAAAATAAAGCTGGGTACGCGTCGAAACCCTTCGGAGAAACTCGGGAAAGACCCTCTGGAGCTGCTCTGGAGGCTCTCTTGCGTTTCTCGCCCACCCCCCGAAATCCAGACGCCCGCGAATGGAATCCGATTCGTGGAATTTGACACCAAGAAAGCCGTTCTCAGAAATCGCTTCTAAGAGTTCGATTCGCGGACATCGATACACGTAAATCGATTTCCATTATCGGAAACCGATTCGCTAACTTCGGCTCACGAAATGTGAACCTTGAATTTAGTTCACGGAGGTCGCTTCGGAGACTTCGGTTCGCGGAATAAGGCTCACAGAGTTCGATTCGCGGGCTTCGATTTGAGGAGTCTGGCTCACGGACACGGGTCGTAGAACTCGATTTAAGGACCTCGGCTCCAAAAAAATGCACTGAAGTTGGTGCATTAAACCAATTCCAATAATTCGACTCACTGAATTCGATTCCCAAAAGTCTGATCAAGGAAGTCTGGGACGGAAGCTCGTGGAATACTGCTGAGGCCGATGTTGGAGTCCTACGGCGGTAACACCACTGGAAGACCCCCAATGGAGAATCCCACCAGCCCTCTGGACGTAATTAGGTGGTCTAGGGCGCTTCCTCTTCCAATACCCTTCTTCCCCTTCGGGGAAGGGTTTTATCACTGTTCCCTATTAGGATACACCCCCTCCCCCAGGCGACCGGCAGCCAGCCATCCATGCCACACTATCTATATAGATATATATATATATATGTAAAAAAAAGAATACACTTTGGGGCAACGTCTGGAGTCATGTTCCTGAGGCCCGCTGGCGCTTTGTATTGTGTTGTGGCAGGGACGGCGGGGGTGTCAGCATATTGCTTGCTGCTCGCAGGGCTACCGTCGCTGACACAAAAAAAACACCTCGCGGCCAAATCTGGATTATGCGCGGCGACCCCGCGATCACTGCCAAGTAGCAGCGTATGGCCTGCTGTGCGCAGGCCCACCAGACACAATGATGGGCATTTGTTTTCGACGTGGATGGCGGGGGCCGACATGTTTCCCAATATGTGCTGTCACGTGCGCAGGCGCACCTGACACACTCTGCATGTGTCCCGAACGTGGCGCACCTGGCGCGGCTGGAGTATGCGGCACACCTGCCACACGCGGAGGCACGTGGCGCAGCTGGCGCACCAGGCGTGCCTGGCACGCTCGGGCCCCAGAGGTGCCTCGCGTGGCGCGCCTGGCACGCGTGGAGCACCTCGCCCCAGCGTCACGCACATGGGCTCGGTTTTGGTTCCCAGTAGCTGCCCATCCAAAGACGACCGCTGAACATGCTGAGGCCTGGGTGTTACTTATGTGTTGGGAGGGCGGGTGGGAGTGAGCAAGACGGTTTGCAGGTGAGTGGGTAGCTTGACCCCTTCCCCTACCCCCTCCCCTGGACCTGGACGGAGGGGGGTCGAGGCGCCGGAGCGTCCAAGATGGCCCAAGAAGGCTCTAAGAGGGCCCCTGAAAGCCCAAGATGAGCTCCAAAATGGCTCAAAATGGCGCACGATGCCTCAAGCTGGTTCCCAAGATGCTCCAAGAAGCCCCAAGAACGTTCCAAAACCGTTCCAAGAGGCCTCCGAGACCTCCAAGGAGGTCCCCAAGAAACCAAAAATTTAAAGAACCTGAGGGGGGTCAATGATGTGTGCTTTCTCGCCATTTCGCTTCCGATGGCCATCCGAGGCCTCAAGATGGCTCCAAGATGGCCACAGAGAGCCCCAGGAGAGGCCCAACAGAGCCCCCAGACGGCCCCAAGAGCGCCCCAAAGCGCCCCAAAGGCGCTCCAGGAGGCGATTGCCGGTGCCCCCGAGGGGGGCTAATTGGAGCTCCCCTCTGTTTTCCAACCCTCCTGCGTTGGGTGCTCGTTTTGAATATAGCAGTGCGGTCTCCGTCCTCCTCCTCCTCCTGGCCTCCCTTCTCCTCTCCTCTCCAGTGCGCCTGGTGGCTTGCCTGGGGGGCTGCGATCTGCGAAACTGTCGCCACTTTCGAGGTCTGCGTGGGGGGACCAGCATAGTGGGCACTCGCAGCTGACTCATATTAGACCTCGCCATCGTTGGGGGGCTGCGATCTGCGAAACCGTCGCCCCTTTCGAGGGCTGCTGGAGGGACCAGCATGGTGGGCACTTGCCGCAGATTCAGATTAGACCTCGCCATCCCTGGTGGGCTGCGATCTGCGAAACTGTCGCTTCTTTCAAGGGCTGCGTGGGGGGGCCAATATTGTGGGTACTCGCCGCAGCCCTTAAATCTCTAAACCCTGAACTCCGGAAGCCCTACAACTCTTGAACCACAGAAGGCCTTCTTCAAACATCAAAACCCTTACCCCTTGAAACCCTTAAGCCCTTGGGCATTTAAGCCACTGAGCCAATGAACGCTTAAACCTGTAAATAAACACTTGAAACCGTCGCCCCTTAAACCTTTAAATGTTCACACCCTCAAACCCTTATTAAACCCTTGCACACTCAATCCCCGGACAAACCTGGTACAAGTTCCAATCTGGGCAGTCATGTTAGCTGCTGGAATACATGTGCAGACATAAACCGATTATTTGAACTTGGGATATCCTGACATCGCCTCACACTTAGAATCATACAATGATCTTGCTTGGCCGGTTGGAATTGATACCAGTGTGTCTTTTCGAGCGGGTTGGAAAAATGTACAAGCTGGTTGGGATTAGTCCCAGTCGGTTGGAAAGAATACCGCATGCGGGCGCCGCCCCGTCGAAGCCGAAAAAACTTCGGACGTAGCCATTGCGCTGGTTGCTGACCCCCCTCCATACTCCCGCACACGAATACTTCATTCACCGTCAGCAACAGCAGCAATCTCATCAGCATCATCATCAGCCTCCTCCTCCTCCACCTCCTTCTCCCCCTCCTCCTCCTCCTCCTCCTCCTCCTCCTCCTCATCATCATCATCATCATCATCATCATCATCATATCATCATCAGCATCCTCAACCTCATCCTCATCCTCATCCTCATCGCGGCGCTCTCACCCTCAATCAGTCGGCACCAAAAATGATGGGCTGACACGGTGGCGGGATTTGCCGCATGCAACTGGATAGATCGCGTTCCGCTCAAGATCAGGAATCGTGTGTACGTGATGGGATGTTCGCTGGCCTGCGATGTTCTGCATTCAAGGCCTGAATAGTCCGATCCACATACTTCGCGAATTGACAGTCTTCTGAAGGGGAGCAGTGCCATGCTACGCAGCCCCTTATAGCTTCAACACCGCCCGCACGAGCTTGCAAGACGGCTCCAAGATGGCAGAGTACACCTCCAGTAAAACCCAACGGGGCTCAGAGGGGCACGAGCTGAAAGGTTCAGAGATGTCTGAGATATCCAGGCGGACAAAAGCGGTCAACAGGCTGCAGAGGTGCAGGCGGGGAGGAGGGGGACACGGGTGCAAAATGAAGGAAGGCGTCGGCGCGCCGTCGCCGTCGAACCACCGCCGCATGCGCAGCACATGTCAGTGGCTGTGAAGTCGACGTCGTCATAATAGGCAGGATAATAATCGCAAAGCTGTGGTTGTTCGACCCATTGACCACAGGTGGTGCCAGTCATAGAGGTCGCTTCTCCAGACGTATCGATGCAAATAGTGGGCGCCTGCGGAGGTTACAACCATCGTTCTTAGCGGCAAGGATATCTGCGCAACCTGTGGGTGGCGTGCGGCACTCGTCGTTCGTCTGAGAAGCACTTCTCCCCCCCCGCCCCCACTCTTTGCCGTAATCGTGTGTCTGCTGTTTCGCCCGTGCCATGAAGCTGCAGAGAGTCCCCCATCAGAGCCCCAAGAAGACCCCAACAGGGCCCCAAAGACCCTCGGGAGAGCCCCCAAAGAGCAGAGGGCGCCAGTTTGCACCCTTGCACTGCTGATTGGGCTGATAATATAGTTTTAGTGGTGCCCCCTTGTCTGACACATGCTCATTCACATTCCTTCCCACGACGGCCCACCGAAGACCCGAAGCGCGTCTGGATGGGCCAGTGGGGATGAGCGAAGTGAAAAGACCTTGTCTCCCCAAACGTTACCCAACGCAGCTTGTATACTGGTCGACGCACCAGCCACAACAATCATCTTGCCTCAACTACGGTGTTCATCATTCCCGTCATGTCTACAACGCTAGTGAACATCGTTATTTCTCGAGCATAACGCTTATCACGAGCACCACGGTTCCCATCGCGAGTATGAGCACCACGGTGCCTGCCGATGGCCCGATGGCGGTACCGAGTACTTGGTTACTACCACAAAGCTGGTAAACGCCACGCTGCTTGCGAGAACCGCAGCGCATGTGAACACCAAAACACCATCGTGGCTTAGGCCACATGGACAGAACAACCCCTCCTTCCTACCTCACTCCGCAGCCTCATCCCAGCCTTCAACCCTACCACCACCCTACCATATCTAATACGGCACACACCCCTGCGCGTCCTTGCAGGGCTCTGCGTCATCCTCCTCATCCTTTTCCTCCTCCTCCTCCTCCTAGTCCTAATCTTCCTTCTCCGCCTTCTCCTCCTCCTCCTCGTCCTCCTTCTCCCTCTCCTTCTCTTCGTTTGGAATCAGGCCGTATTGACTAGCAATCTCCCTAGCGGCGCCCTCGCCTGAACAGCACGAGCGTTCTACACTAGAACCATGCGCCAACCACATCCATCAAAATCTTCCGCCTTGTGGACCCCATGTGCCAGCCATACCCACCCAAGACGATGATAAACATGATGTGATCGGAAAGTGCGCGATCGGGCAAACATTTGCACCTGTTATATCAAAAACTCTAGATGGCTAGCCCCACATGTAATGATATCACATGTGATTGTATCAGAACGGCCGTGCAATTGCACCAGGAATCAGTGGCAGAAACAACGCCGAACCACGAAGCCTGAGCAACACATTAATGTAATACACTTGACTGCGCTGACTGAGTTTGGGTCTGGCGAGCTGCGCGTTAGTTGGTTGCGTTGGACGGGCATGGCATGGGCTGGGCTGAGCTGGGCCGAATCGGATTCAGCTGGGCTGAAACGGGTGGGCTGAGCTGGGCAATGTTGGATTTAGCTTCGCTGGGCTGAATTGGACGGGCTTGGGGTGTGGTTGGTCGCGATGGGGAACCGCACTGCGCTGTAGAGCTGCCCCACACAGACTGAAGTAGACGGAGCTGGACTGGACTGGGCTGAGTTGGGTTGAACTGCGATTAGCTGGACTGAACTGGTCTGAGCTGGTCAGAGCGGGGCCGAGTTTTGTAAGAGTCAGCTGCCCTGAACCTCCTGAAATGGGCTGATATGGACTGAGTGACCTCACGAGATGGACAGACATGCACTGAGTTTAGATGAGATAGACTAAACTGAGCTAAGAGCTTAGATGAGATAGCCTGGGTTGGGCCGACCTGCGATGAGTGGTGAAGGTGGCCTGCCCCAGTGATGCGCTACTGGACTGAATAGACCAGACTCGACAGCCGGAGTGATTTATACCGAAGTGTGCTGACCTGAACTGAGCTGCGGCGCGCGAGACCCAGATGGGCTGGACTAGCTGAGCTGCGCAATGCTATCTGGGCCTGGATTGGGCTGAATTGGGTTGGCCTGGGCGACAGTGGACAAGGCTGGCCTGGGCTGGACTGGGCAGCCCTGAATGGTGAAGGTGGAATGTGCTGGGCCGCGCTACGTTGTAACATGACCGAAGTTTTGGGCTGGGCTGGAATTCGCTGGACGAGCTGGGCTGGTTTGGGCTAACTGGACTGAACTGCGCCAGGTGAGCTGAACTGAATTGTGCCGCGCTGACTTCGCCACGGCTGGGCTGGACGGGACGGAGATGGCGGAGCTGGGACGAGACTAGCCGAGCTCAGTCGAGCTGTGCTGAACTGCCACGAGCTGGACAGAGGTGAGCTGGGCTGAGCTGGCTTGGGCATGATCGAGCTGGACTCAGCGAGCCTTGCCTGGACTGTCCTGGGCTGTGCTGGGCTAGACCGAGCCCGGCTGGACTTGGCTGAGAGGTACGTTCGGGCACGACCGCAGCTGGGACGCCCACGAGCAGTGAGGGGGGCAGCGCACGCCCTGCATAGGCAGCTGCTCGCGTGGCCATGCAAGCCGACCGCCCTTTTTCGTCCTCCTCGCACGCGCCACTCTCCACGGCCGACGCACCTGCTTTGCAGCCTTGCACCACGTCGATTAGCGCTCTCTTCCAATCCGACTTGGTTGCGACATCAGACTTCAAGGCCATGTGCTGAATCATACAATCAAGCCTCTCGTCCGTCGACGAAAAAGACACTGGGGGAGCAGCGGGACCGCTCCCGGCTTTGACACCCATCTCACAACCCCTGGATCCACCGAGGCGCAAAAAGCAGTGAAGACTCCTGCGGTCCGTGATGTCTTCCGCTGCGTGTCTCCCGTCTCTCCGGTCCTGTCTCTAATGCAGGAGTGCAGGAGCCCGACCACAAGAAACCTGCCCCAAGAAAATCCCACCCTGAGACCCCAGGGTGTCCATCGATTTTTGGTATAGGAACGTCACGCTTTCCATCGCAAAACCACTGAAGTCCAAGAAATCCAGGGCACCCTGGAGGCGAGCAGGGTGTGTCTTGGCATGGGCCTCCATTGTACTCTGCTGTCTGCTGGGGGGGGGGCCACGGCGCCAAAAGAAACCAGCCGGGGATGCCTCCAAAAGTCCTGGCCGCTCTGGCTTGCCCCACGGATGCCCATAGGGGGCGCTCGCAAAACTGCCAGGAACGCCCCCACGACGCTCAAAAAAGATCCAAAAGGACCCCCAGGAGGGTCTCGGAAAACCCAAACCGGCATCGCTCACGAGAAAACTTATGGTCAGTTTTCGCGTTTTCGCCTCTCGGGCCTTCGGAAGCCCACCAACTTGCCCAAGACGGCCGCCGATGGCCCCAAAACGGCGGAAGAGGGCCCGAAGCGAACCCCAAAAGGGTTCGGATATGGTCAGAGCAACTCCACAGACGGGCCCGAAACGGCCGAAAAGAGCATCAAGACAGCCTTCCGCCCCCCCAAAAAAAAGTTGCCTGGCGCAGGATCCGACCATAAAGAGCTGAGAGCATCGCGAAGTATGGGAGAAGAAGGATGGGGGGCAGCGTGTCAATATGGCCAGCGGGGCGCATGTGATTCCTGACACTGCGGCCTTCGAAGCTCCCCATGGGGCCGCGAAGCGTGCGAGGGGCGTGCAAAATTGAGCTGGAGGGGGGCGCGTGTGATTCCTGCCGCTGCGGCCTTGTGTGGAGCTCCCTGTGGTGCCGCGAAGCGTGTGAGGGGCGTGCCCAATTGGGCGGGAGCGCGCATGTGATTCCTGCCACTGCGGCCTTCTGTGCAGCTCCCCTATGGGGGGCCACGAAGTGCGTGAGAGGCGAAGGCGAAGATGACACGCGGAGGGCAGAAGTGGGAGGACGGAGGGAGGGGGGCGATGAAGGAGGAGTGAACTCCGGGCGCTGCGGCTTCAAGACGAAGACCCAGCACCACAAAGGGCGGTTGGGAACAAACTAAAAGGGTTCCCCCCACAGAGTCCCACTCGCTTCGTCCCGAGGGGACCCAGAAATACGCTCCTGGCCGACACCCCGGGTGGGGCCCGAGCCCGGTGCACCGCCACCGCCTACAGAGGAGCGCTGGGCGTGGCAGTCGTGAAAATGAACTTCTGTAGAAACATTCGTTCTCTGAGTCGCGCACTGGGCCTGAGCGAGCCGTGGGGATTCTCTCTCGACGTGCCATCTCGAGGCGCATGGTTTACTGACTGACTGACTGACTGGGGCTCGTAAGGGGCATACTTCTGCTCTATCACGTCCCGAGTGTTCCCGCGCAACATCTCTGAGGGACGTGGTACCGCGGAGCCCTGCTACCAGTCGGTGGTCCTGAGCCCCTGATGCGGGAGCGGGCCCTGGAAACGACAGGGCCTCTCTTCTACCGATGTCCCAAGAAATAACGTTTTGAATATGAAAACGACAGAACCGGCAAACACTGTCCACCGAGACGGTTGAAAAAATTCAACGAAACGCCCTGGGCAGTCCAAGGACCCGACTGACGTTGGGAATCGGCGAGAAAACGGCTCGGATCCGGCAGCGGTTATCCAGACGAAAGACCCAACCATATGCAAATGTGAATACCGCATTGGGTGTACCGACCGCTTTCGGTGGACCTCCCTATGGAGGCACGAAACGTGTGAGGGGTGCGCCGGAATGGGCGCGGTGGTGCCATGCGGGCGATGCCCTGAAGCCTTTGGTGGAGCTCCCTATGGGGCCACAACACGTGTGAGGGGAGTGCCGACATGGGAGCGGTGGTGCCATGCGAGCGCAACAACTGTGGCCTTCAGTGGAGATCTCAATGGGGCCACGAAACGTGCGAAAGGTGCGCCAAAATGGCACGGTGGTGCCATGCGAACGCAACTAATGGAAACCTCGGTGGAGTTCCATACGTGTCCACGAAACGTGTGAGAGGTGCGCCGACATGGGCACGGTGGTGACATGTGAGCGCAACCACCGTGGCCTTCGGTGGAGCTCCCGATGGGGCCACGACACGTGTAAGAGTGTGCCGAAACGTGCGCGGTGGCGCCATGCGAGCGCAACCGTCGGGGCCCTCGGTGGACTTCCTGATGGGGGCACGAAACGTGCGAGGGGTGCGCCAGAATGGGTGCGATGGTGCCATGCGAGCACAGCCACTGGGGCCCTCGGTGGAGTTCCATACGTGGCCACGAATCGTGTGAGAGGTGCGCTAACATGGGCACGGCGGCGCCATGTGAGCGCAACCGCCGTGGCCTTCGGTGAAGCTCCCAATGGGGCCACGAAGCGTGTGAAGGGTGTGCTGAGCCTGGCGCGGCGGCGCCATGCGAGCGCAGCCACTGTGGCCCTCGGCGGAGTTCCCTATGAGGCCACGAAACGTGAGGGATATGCCGACACGGGTGCTGGGGTGCTTGTGGGCGATGCCCTGAGGCCATCGTCGGGTGTGCCGAACTGGGTGCGGCGGTGCCGTGCGAGCTCAGCCACTGGGACCTTCGGTGGGGCTTCCCATGGGGCCACGGAACGTTCGACGGGTGCGCCAGAACGGGCGCGGTGGCGCCATGCCAGCGCAGCCACTGTGTCCTTCGGTGGAGGTCCCAATAAGGCCACGACGCGTGTGAGGGGTGCGCCGAGGTGGTTTACTGGCGCGGCAGACAAGGGCAATGTTTAATTTATTTGGATGCGAGCTAACGACTCGCCTCAACCCCCTGCAAAGCCGACGAAACGGCGAAGGCCCGAATGGCCGAAAGGGACGAGGGACGGACCCAGGACCCAGAGGCAGAGCCGACCGAAAGGACCAAACGAAACACAAGGGACCGAAACCACGAGGGCCACAGTCAGCAAGGCCAGAAACACGGGCGGCAATCAAGCAAGAGGTACAAAAAAAAAATGGTTTGTTCTTCTTCTTTCTCTTGCAAAACACCCCAAATCCTCCAACCGATGATATCTATCAAACGCTCCACCCCACCCCGGTCTAAGGCATCTACCGCTTCTACCGCTTCCGACGGCACTCCCTCCGACGATCTCCATCGGTCTGGAAATCGGGAGGGCGGAAGCTGTTCGGAGCAAACCTAAACGGAAGGCGCTGGGACGAAGAAGCGTGCTGTTCAGACTTACAATACAGCAGCTCATCGGCACGGCGAGGCCCACCTGCACATGCCTTGTCCAAACCCGCGCGTCTGCGGATAAGGGGCCTGGAATGCCCCATCACGCCTCCAGATGGCCGCCTGGGCCTCCACCTCCTGCACATGCTGCCTCCAAGCCGCCTCGACCGCTCTCAGCGTGACGCGGCGGCGCACGAAGACGTATGCGGATGGCGCTCGTCTCCGCCAGGTCGCGAGTCGGGTCAGAGCACGCGGGCTTCGGCTGCTTGGTACAGTCGGCTGTCTAGCCGCCCCCTTCACAGCGACCGTCGCCAGGAAGAGCACCCTCGACGCGATCAGCATTGGCATCGCCCGAAACACTCTCGCAAAACACGTCTTCAGTGAGCAGACCAGGGGCACGAAGACCCCGAGGACCGCGATGGCGCCAGCCATCCCTGAAGGGCCGCACACAGGGCGGCCGTGCAGCGGCGGGGATGCCCGAGAACACCACGGCGCCGCAGGTGCACCTCCATCTCGCGCCGCCTGCCGCGGGGATAGCGGCCCTCTCAGCAGGGGAAAAATGGGCCGCCTAGGCTCGCAGCGCCATCTTCTCGACGACGGCGAACACGAACTCGCCGGCCTCAGCCCGCAACGTCGACCTCACAACGGCGGCAGGCGCGGGCGCATCGTCCTCGGAGGCGGACCCGACAAGATCAGCATCGTGAGGACCACGAAACTGGCGGGCCTCCAACCGCGGCCCACGTTGTGCTCGCCGCAACTCCTGGGCGTCAGCGGTGGCGGTGGCCACATCCACGCCGACGGCGTCGGCGCGCAGCCCGACGTTGCCGCGGAGCACGTCTATCCACTCTGGCACCCGCCCGTCCAGCTTGGCCTGCAATGCTGGCAGCAGCGCCTGGACTCGCTGCGCCGCCTCGCTGCCGCCGACCAGAACGGACAGAGTCTCCTCGGCCACCGCGAGGCGCGCCTCAGCCTGCACCAGCTGCCCGGCAAGGCGCTTCACGAGCCGGTCAGCAGAAGCACGGGCGCCCGCAGCGCCGCGCCGCGCGCGACCAGCCGCCGCACGATTCTCCGATGAGGCAGCGGCGTCCCGAGCCATCCGTGCCTTGCGCCCCCCCCCCCTCCCCGGTTGAGCCAACGGCTTGGGCCAAGATGGCTACGGAAGGCGGGGGCAAGAATGGGGGGGGAGGAGGTGGAGGAGGAGGGAGTGAGGGACGCGGGGCGCTATTTCGTCCAAGCGAGGAGCGAGGGCCCGACACCGCAGGATGGTGGGGAAACACTGTGATCTGAACCAAAGCCCCACCAGGGAAAACGCACACGATAGAACAACGGCGCCGAAAACGCAGGAGAAACTGCGCTGGAAACAAGAAAACATCTGAACACGAGGAAGGACAAACACAAGCGACCACCAACAAAAACAGCCCTGTTGCTTCCAGGGCCCAGGAAGTCCCCAAATGAGCCGTCTACCCCGGAGCACCCCGCCGACATCGTCCCGAACGCTCCAGGCACCCGCTGTGCGACGCGCGCCCTGGCCAGGGCACGGTGGCATTCTCTGGCCACGAGGCCCCGAGGAGACACGCTACTTGTCGCGGGACTGGCGCTCGCGAAGATCGGTCGGGCAGGCGCGCGGGTACTGCGCAGCAGCAGGCTGAAGCGCTGCAACGAACGAAGCTGCCGACGCCGGGGGCCCGGCGACCCTGCAAGGGCGGCAGGCGCGCCAAGGGCGCTGGCCTCCGGGGAGGCCGGGTAGCTGATCAGGTGCGAAACAGTTACATGCAGCCAAACGCTGCTGCGAAGAAGCCAAACGCTCCCCGCAAGATGATGAAGATAGATCGATGACGGCGACAGATAAACTGATTAACGCCACACGCTTTGAACGCACTCATCTCCAACATGTTGCCAAGTCTCAGATGTTGCCGCCATGTCGCTCCGCGATTATCATCCTTTGTCTTTCGCAAAAGAAACAATGTCATCTTCCCATCGCACAAACCGCCGTGGTCGACATCGAACCGGACAGGCTGCTGTTCCCTTTGATTGCTGCGACCACCAATCTGCATTTTTCCACTCGGTTGTATTTCTCGCCCACTTTTTCGGGCGTCATGTTTGCTATTTGCCCCGCCCGCCGCCATTTGCTTCTTAAGAATGTTTCTGTCCAGCACCCACCGCCTGCTTGTCGGGCCCTGTCTTCAGCCGTCCGCGTTGCCCTTCTGATCCACGATACATAATCCTCTTCAGGGCGTCTTCCGGGCCCCACTATGCGTCGCAGCATCGACTTCTGCACGCTCTGGAACTTCCTTTTTTGGGCAACTGTCAACTTCCAGGACTCACAACACCATAATACAGTTCTCGTCACCGCTGAATTAAACAATTGTCAACGCTTCGCCATCGAAACGCCCTTTTTTGTAAGTAGCGCTGATAAGCTTGAAAATGTCGCCCATCCGGCTCTTAATCGTGCGTCGAATTTTGTTGATGTGCTTCCATCCGACGTTACCATAAAGCCCAGCATTTTGAATCCCTCAGCGCAGTTCACCACTGTTTACGCTTCCCCCGATAATATGATCCTCTGCCCGCGCATAGCAGACGTCCCCACGCATGACACACAACATTTGTCGGCGTTTAGATTCAGTCCAATTTTTGCCAGTTCCGCCCGGAAAGCAGCCATCATTTGTGCCAGGTCTCGTCTGGATCTTGCAAGTATCGTAGTGTCGTCGGCGAGAATCATGTATGTCAGCCGGCGCTTGCCCAACAAATTGCTTCCGACAGTGCACCCATATGACTTTGCTTCCCATTTTTTCTTGAATTGTCCCATTGCGTTCTGAACGGGGTTCGTGAAGAGCGCCGGTGACATTGGATCACCCTGTCGAACGCCGCGCAGAATGTCGAAATACCTGCTGCGAGCTGCTGGGTCCGACTGTACAAATGCTTGCTGCTGTGTATACATGTTTTGGATTGCCCCAAACTTCTTCTCGCTCACCCCCGACGCGTGCAAACCAGTAAGGACAGCTGAATGTATGAGTATGTCAAATGCTTTCTCTAAGTCTATAGATGCTGCCCATCCATGTTCCCACAAATCCTTTCCTCTCTCACTAACCATCCTCGAGCAATGGACTACATCACGACAGCCGTATCCTTTCCGAAAGCCCATCTCTTCGGGAGCTTTTACCCTGTCCAGAACATGTTCCATCCTTCTGAGCAGTACGCTACTGTATAGTTTACTCGATACTGGAATAATGGTGATTTGTCTGTAGTTCTTCGGTAGAGTAGCATCCCCTTTTTTGAATAAAATCACTACTTTGGAAATATTCCAAGACTCTGGAGCCCGCGTTTCCCCATTGAGTAAATCGGCAACTGCATCCGAGATTGCATCAATCATGTCACGCCCGCCATCTTTGAGCATCTCTGCCACTAGCCCGTCTTCGGCGCAGGCTTTGTGGCGTTTCAGCTTCTTTATGCACTGCTCTATGTCGCTCCTCCAATATGGCGCCGTGGTTTTCTTCTGTTCCCTCTGCGTCTCACCAAATTCCTCACGAGGAGCAGAATACAATGATTGATAAAAAGTAACGAATATTTCAACTATCCCATTCCGGTCCGACTTTGTGTTGCTCTCATTGTCCTTGATGCTTGCGATGCGTCTGTTCTTCCTGAAATGCTTTTGGATATGCGGCAGTTTGCTGGCAGTCCCTTGATGCTGAAGCGCTGCAAGACCAGGCAAAAGAAGAGAAGCGGCGGCGGCAAAGGCAGGGGAGGTCCCCCCCGTCCTCCTCCTCCTCCTCCCTCCCTCCCTCACTCCCTCCTCCTCCTCCTCCTCTTCCTCCTCCTCCTCCTTCACCCTCCTCCCTCCTCCCTCCTCCCTCCTCCTCCTCCTCCTCCCTCTCCTCCTCCTCCTCCTCCCTCCTCCCTGTCCTCCTCCTCCTCCTCCTCCTCCTCCTCCTCCTCCTCCTCGTCCTCCTCATCCTCCTCCTCCTCCTCCTCCCTCCTCCTCCTCCTCCACCCTCCTCCTCCTCCCTCCTCCCTCCTCCCTCTCCTCCTCCTCATCCCTCCTCCCTCTCCTCCTCCTCCTCCTCCTCCGCCTCCTCCTCTTCCTCCTCCTCCGATCCGAGCAAGCTCGATCAAAGCCGTATGCAACGCCAGGTTGCCGACGATGCACACGCGCACAAACACACACACACACACACACACACACACACACACGCGCGCGCGCACGCACGCACGCACGCACGCACGC